GACATTTCTACTTTTACATCTCTCACATAGAACTCTTTCCCTCCACCCACACAGGTGACATCTTGGTACAAGCCCTGATTATCTCATGCTTAAATTACTGCAATAGTATTCTGGCTGGTCTCTCTGCCTCTGGTTTTTCCCTACTCCAGTCCTTCCTCTACTCAGTTGCCAAAATGATTTTCTTAAAGTACAACTCTGACTAGGTCACCCCCTACTGAAAAAACTCCAATGGCTCGCTATTACTTTCAGGATCAAATACAAAATCCTCTAGCTTTTAAAACTTTTCATAACCCTTTCCCTTCCTACATTCTTACAGTTCCAGTCTTCTTACACTTTACTCTTCCATGTATTCTATAATCCCCGTACAGTGGCCTTTTTGTTGTTGCTTGGACTTGATACTCCAGTTCTGGAATGTTCTCTCTCCTCACCTCTACCTCCAGGCTTTCTTTAAGGTTCAGATCAAACCCCATCTTCTGCAAGAAGTCTTTCCTGTTCCTTCCTAATACTAGTTTCTCTCTTCTGAGATTTCCTGCCCCCACCCCATTTATTTATTAGTGATATTGTTGAGATATAAACTTACGTACAGCTTTGGTTGTACCCTAAAAGTTTTGCTATCAATCACCACTTCCATGATTTGTTCTCTCAAGATATTAGGAGATACCCTGTTTTCCAGAGCTAAGACCCAGCAAGCAAGCTGTGCCCTGAGCTTGGCATAACAACAATCCTTTGTGCTCAGCCTCTGGATGATCTCGTCACAGCAAAATCCCAGAATTGTTTCTGGTCATGAAGCCTTGCTAGGAATCAAACTTGTCACACTGTTGCTGTTAACTCTCACTGTCAGGGCTACAGCTCACTGTGCAGCCATTAGTATAAGTATTGAGATCTTCCCATACTAAAACAGCTCCTCTCCCTCACATACACTAGGGACAGGGCTCCAGCACATGTCTACCTGCTTGCAAGCTGTTTCCCTCACTTTGAAATTAAACTTCTGTTTGAATCCCGAATCTTCTGCCTACTCTGTTTGGCTCTGTCCACCCAGAGGTTAGAGGCCAGTTCCTCTGGTTGACATCAATTGGTGTCAAAAGTGGAATTGGACGTGGAACTGGGCCATTGGACTCTGGTACCAGTGGGAATGGACTAGATGCCACCAGAGATTTATTTTTCCAGAGTCTGACCCCCTCCTTGTCTGATGAGTCCCCTGCCTTTGTTCCTGCTCCAATCTCTGAGCTCCTGCCTTGGTCAAGCTCTCTACTATTTGTGAGGAAAACTCTGGGGCCTTCCAGTGACCCAATTTACCTCAGGTCTCTCTGGTAAGGATATCCTTTCTGTACCTCTGTTCCCCTAACCAACTGTTCCTGCATGTTCTGTTTGGCTCCAGCCTCTGCAGGCCAGTAGGCTCTCACTTGCTGTATTCCCACTTCACCCCCCCCATCCCCCAAGGCTGAGAGAGTATTTGGTCAGCTCTGTGATTCTGTTAAGCTAATAAACACATGTCCCATGTCTAGCTATAGATTTTAATTGTGCACTTTGTTCTGTTTGTATCTGTCTTGTCATTTTGTCTGTCTTTGTAAAAGGTAAAATGTCGATGTCATATAAAATGTCTGTGTAGATTCTATTACCTTGAAAGATTTAAAATGTGGCCAGCTAGAAAAACTTCTAAGGGCTGTAGCTAGAGAGTTTAAAACACTGGGAAAAGATTAATGAACTTTCATAATTGAAGCAATTGTCCAGTAAGCAGGACTAACACCCACCTAAGGCTTCCTGTGGGAGATTAGGGTAGAAGAAAAAAAAAAAAACCTATAAGATACTTTTCCCCCCTGTCATTTCAATTTTGGCTATGTTGGAAATACAGAAATAAGGTCAGATAATCAAAGTTTGTGGAACTACTAAAAACATCAGATTAAGGAGTTTGAAGATTAATCATTTTAAGATTTCAGGGGAGAACTCTTGGGCCCTTGGGGTAATTCCAGGAATTCACTCCCTTCTGAAATATCTTAGTAAGTTTTGGGGTACCACTCTATAGAATTTGTTTTAAGGAAAAATAAAGATTAAATTTTATAAAAGTTAAAAGTAAATGACAAGATTAATATCTTCATTGTTCTAGGGCAATGAAGGAAGGCAGCTAGTTTGGAAGTAATCCCAGAATGAAGAAAGAAAAAAAAAAACACCTTATTTTTATAAGTTTGCACCGCTTGTTAACCTTTCCTTGACATTTCTGTTCATGAAAAGAGACAAGATTGTCTAAGCCAGAGATCCCCCGTGACTCCCCCAGGTCAAGAGACCTTCTCCCTTTTAACCTCTCACATACCCAAATACAAGTGTTGAAAAAAAAATGTTGGAAAAACATAGGTAAACTTGAATTATGTTCTGCCCCTCCAGCCTGTGCAGTTCATTGCCCAGGGCCCATCTGGTGGAGGAGGAGGAGCCACAGCTGCAGCAACTCCCCCTCCCCAGTGGCCCCAATGGCCCTATGTCCCAATGAGCCCTGCAGCCTGCCCCTCTAGGCAAGCCTGGGGGCATCATACAGGTGCAGTATATCTTGCCCACCCTGCCACAGAAGGTGTAAGTGGCCCCAGCTCCAGCAGTGCTGCAGCTGGGTTGGGTGGGGGGGAAGGGAATCAGGCCTCATGGTCAGTATCGGCTTTGCCCTGTCACCAGGACCTACCACCAATGGGAAGGTCCTGGCACCAGTCACCCCAGCACCTGGGATTCCCATTCTGCAGTTAGTACTCTCTGCCTCATTCCCTGCCTTTCCCCCTGCCCCAGCCCAATCAATGCCTACAATGCAGGTCCACTCCTTCTTTATGATTAAGTTATTTAGTATTCAAATAATTTTTAATCTTGAAGCCTTTAAAGGCTTTTCACTAAATACAATTTTTATCGCACTGTGATCTATAAAAAGATATTTAGTATTTTTGTGTAGTTATACATTACATACATATAGTATTGGAGGAATATATATGTATTTACTGTCAACCTGAAAGTTTGGTTAAAGAAGGCAAACAAGTTAGGTGATACATGATTATATAGTTTATTCCCTTTTAGCTAGCGAGTCACGCACATGGAAGCCAGAACGTGATTCTGACTCCAAGATTAAGCAAAATGAGAGAGGTTTTATACAGTTTAGAGTGATCAGACTCAGGATGTCTGTGTTACAAAAAATACAGCCTCCATATGTTTTTTTTTAATATATAGCATGGGAAAGGAATTTTCTTAATTGAATAGGTTGTAAATACAATAAAATAGGAGAATGTAAAAGTGTCAATTGAAATTATAGACCAAGATAAGAAGAGTCCTACTATTCAAGAGTGTCTGGTCCCAGACATCCTGGGCTTAGTGATAGCAAACAGGAAGAATGTTGATCAGTTCTACCTGGTCCTGGACTTTGCTGACATAGGAAGGGGTGCTTTTAGTTCACTCAGAGAAAAAAAGATTAATTCAGGTTTTTGGCCCTTATTGGGGCTCAACTAATCTTAAATGATTATATATATATATATATATATACACACACACACACACACATCTTATATATAGGCATAGCTATATATCTCATATAGTTGTTTGTGTGCAGGCCCCTCCATTAAAACATCAGATCTTTGAGGGCAGCGACACTTTTTGCTATTCTTTGTATCTCCAGTACTCAACACAGTGCCTGGAACATAGTAAGTGCTCCATAAATGTTTGATTTTGCGATCATGCTGAGTGGGGGGCAGAAAGATGGGCAGGACCTCATTCCACAAATTAGGAAATCAAGGCTCACAGACTTTGTAAATTTGCCCTAGGTTATGGATGCACACAGCAGAACACCAGAATGCAGGTTTTCTGACTTAAAAGTTCAGAATTCTTTTTCCTGCACTATCATGCCTATTTCAGAGGCCGTCTACCTTTTCACTGGGTGGCATCTTCCGCCCTCGACAACTCTTCGGGGACCCACACACATCCAGGGGAATCCGCGGCGGTGGGCTTCAAGGTTCACCAAACAAGTAAAGTACACCTAAACCTTAGACCCCCAGAGTAGGGCTGACGTGTGAGGTTTTTCTATGGCAGAGCTGGGTGAGGAAGTAGCAAGCCTTTCTGATTGTGTTTTCTTCACGTCACCTATCGTGGAGTGACACAGGTCGCTTCCATGCAGCCGCAAGGAGTAAGAAGAGGTGAAGAACGCCACCAGACACCGAGAAGGGAACTACGGCAGCTTACAAACCCCACAAGCTGAGCAGTTTGAAGTCTCCGGCCCAGCTTCGGGTTGGCGGGCTCGGGTCACGTGGACAGGAGCCGGAGTTTCTCAGACAGCTGGAGGCTAGGGTGGAGGGGATCAGCGTAGGCTGTGCCTAAGCAGCTTCGTTTCATACCTCTCCCCGCCCCCCTTCCCTGACTGCTTCCGCTAGGGGTGATTATCATTTTTATTGACAAACACCGAGCGAGCGATCGCAAGTTCCGGGGTGTATTTTTAGCCGAGCTATGGGAGACAAGAAGAGCCCCACCAGGTAACAGCGTCCGGCTTTGGGGCCCTGCGGCCTGGTGTAAGCAGGTGGCCTCACTCACTGTCCGCCTGGATTCAGGTGGCCGCCTCGCTGTTGGCCCAAGCTGTCGACACTGGCTAGAGGGAAGTGGTCGCTCTACAATGGAACCGCGATGGCGACGGGCTGGTGGGCGGCTCCAGTAGCAGCATTTCTCAGCCCTCCACAGCAGCAGCGACCCCCGGCCACCCTTCTTGTGTTCCGCCCTTTTCCCCGCCGCTCTCCCCTCCCCCCTCGAGCGGAGCAGCCGCGAATCTGGGAGGGCTGCTTTGGGGGTTCAGGGTGGGTGGAGAAGGGGGAGGGAAGTCAGTTCGAGTGCTTAGAGGCCTGGCTTCGGGAAGAACAGAAAGGGGTGGGAGTACAGCTTATTGCTGCTGGTTTGGCCCTGGTGCTGACCCCTGGGCCTTTTTTTTCTCGGGTTGCGTGTTGCAGGCCGAAGCGGCAGCCGAAGCCATCCTCTGATGAGGGATACTGGGATTGTAGTGTCTGCACCTTTCGAAACAGCGCTGAGGCATTCAAATGCATGATGTGCGATGTGAGGAAGGGCACTTCCACTAGGTGAGTCTCTCTTGAGCGAGGCGAACGGAGTGGAGCGCTGAGTGGCCACCCGGTCCCCTTTCTCTTTCTCTTTTTTCTTCTTCCCTCACTGTGGGTAGAAGGGGAAAGGCGGTATTCACTAGAACACCCGTTGTACAGATCTCACCCCCTTTTACAGACTCTAATAAAATGAAAGGGCAGAGGTAATAGAGGAAGCTGAGGTTGTGCCCAGGATAGGAACTGGGTCAGATTGATTGGGCCCTGAGCTGTGTGGTTTGCGGTGGAATAGAAGAAGCTGTAATATTTTTTTGCTGTTCAGAATGAATTAAATATTTAAGGGCAGCAATATGATTTTATTCCTGTTGCCAGAAGTAACGGTTTTTCTCTTCAAATTTAATGTTGGTTGCATTGTTCTGCCAGTTTTTGATCAATGAGAAACCACTCAGTCATTTGGAAGCAGTATAATTCATTATGTCGGAATGAAATGTGGGACTGTAGGACCCATAAAAATCTGATTGGTTTAGATTTAAATTTGTATTTAATTTCGTTTTAGTTCTCTAATGTTCTTTAAAGATAAAAATGAAATTCTAGGTTAATAGCAATATTTTAGCTAAATTAAGTGGTCAAATGTTCTAAGTTTTCTTGAATGGCAGTGTATTAGACTGGACTTGAATTAAAAATAACCTCTGCCTGTTTTTGGTCTTTAACTGATTTCAAGGTAACAATTCAAGAGTTCTGACTAACTTAGAAAGAAATCACTTTTAAGAGTTAAATGGGTACGGGTTCCTCAACAACTGCTTTATAGAGATACTTAGCATTTATAAGGCAGGCAGGCTGTGAATTAATATCATTAAGCTTGTATGTGGAATTTTTTTTTTAATTTTTAGGCGATTGGGGTTAAGTGACTTGCCGAGGGTCACACAGCTAGTAAGTGTCAAGTGTTTGATCTGAGGCCGCATTTGAACCCAGGTCCTCCTGACTTCAGGGACCGTGCGCTTTCCACTTCACCACCTAGCTGCCCCCAATATCATTAAACTTGTGTATCCAGCCTAATATTTAGAAAAGATTACATACTCTGAATCAGTCTGATTTCCAGTAGATTAGCAAAATAAGCAGACTAACATTTCAATTGTAATTAAGAGAATCTAACCAACACAGGTTTGTTTAGAATATTAGTAGTATGAATAATGAGGTTTTCCCCTCATTTTAAACCTCACTTCATTTTTATGGAAAAGATGATGAATAATGCACAGAAATAAAATCTTGACATTAAGTCTAGAGAATACAGTAGTGTAGTAAGAGCCTCTCAATTACACATTTTGATTTTTTTTTGCCATGTATGTGATTTTTTTCCCAGTTGCCAACACAAATCTGTTCTGCCCTTTTTGTGTTAATGTCCACTTATACATGAAAATTTTACACACTTTTCTTATTAAAAAAGCAAAAAAGTTAAAGCTTTTTTAAAAAGAAAACAAAGGCCACATTATACTTAGCCAAATAAATACTTGTACTTATACATGTTACAAACATTTTCCATATGCCAAAAATATAAGACTAGATTTGCATTTAGAGCTTAATATTATTGAAGAACTTACTCTGAGTAAGCTTATTTAAAGATTACTAAACAAGTTTTAGAAAGCCTTTTTGGTAGTATATGTAATTCTGGCGGCTACTTCTAGGCTCTTCTAGGTTCAGCTTTTATTGATGAAAACTTTGCTTGAGGAGGACTCGGAGAAGCAGCATACTTTGTAATTTAGATAGACGCTGAAGAGGTTTTGGATAGTTCCCCAGAAATCTAAAGAGATAGTCTTACTAAAAGTGAACCATTGCTCTTTCAACTTCTAAGTTCCTTATTCTGAATGGCCTCTTTGGAATTATAGATTCCGTATTGAACTCTTAAGAGCTCTCATTTCCTTGCTTCTTAATCTTTTAAAATTTTTGTTCCTGAATCCATAGTGAGATATCTCTGTTTGGCTATAGTAGTGGTACAGGGCAGTTTAAATTTTTAATAGGGCACCTATTGATTGCAAGCTGAAATGTATTTGCCTCCCTGGAAATATTTGATTGGGTCAAGAGCGTGTAACATACTGTGTAAAGACCAGAGTTGCAGTGTTGGAAATGTTTATACACTAAATGTTGAGGTGACATTTTAAGTTAAGTGTAGTACTTAAGTCAGTAATGTTAAGGCTATAGCTGAAAACAGGTAACTTGAAAATGAGTTCAGTGTTGGATTATTTGGAATGAGGCCTATGTTCCAGATGAGACCAAGCCTAACTATATTTTGGTATAATTGGTTTCCTCAGTAATCCTGTGTATTTTTTTTTATCAATTTAAAAACATTCTGAGGAGGGATCTGTCCATAAGCTTAAACAGAAAAAGGAATCTGACACACACACAAAAAGATCCAAGAACTCCTGCTTTAGAGGAATGTGACCATTCCTGAAGGCTAATTAAGCCAATATTTTTAATACCTCACTAAATTCTTTGAGTGAATATTCAGTGCCATAGTGATTTTTTTTAACCTGTTAACATAGATGGATCAGTAAAGATCTAATAATCTACTTATTTAGAATCTAAGTAAGTGGATTTTGTTTTTCTGTATTGTATTTTTATTAGAGAGGTAAGATATCAGGGATTTATTTTCTTAGAAAGCTAGGTACTTACATATATCTGTGTACATTCAGCTGAAATACCTATGTTTTCTGTGGCTATTATATTTAACTTTTGTACATGATATTTATTATAACAATCCTGGGAAACGGAAGGGATTAATTTTATTGTATTAGAATATTGATTCAGTCTTCTAATCAGAGTACCCTGTTGCTCAACTGTTCTGGATAAATGGAAATTTCTTTTCATTGCTGAAGTCATATATAGTCTAGTTGCTTTTTGGTCACTCAATTTGATGACATTTTACGATGGGTTTATAAAATCCAGGGGCATTTGTGGAATCAATGTAAAGAATTTGGGCTTTGTAATTGGAGTACCAGTGTTCAAATTACTCCTCTGATGCTACCTGAAGTGAGTCACTTACTGTGTCTGGCATTCAGATTTGTCATCCATAAAGTGAAGGAGTTGGGTGAGATGATTTCTATAGTCCCTTTGTGCTTTAAATTAATTATCTTGTGATCTTTCTTGTTCCAGGCCAAGCCTTAAGTCCTTAATTTTCTCATCATAGACCTTTTCTTCTAGACTTTTCTTAAGAGAAACAAGAAGATGAAACTACTTCATGTTTTTCCACACATCTTTATTTGAACCACTAGACTTGGAATAAGAGGACTTGGGTTCTGTAATCTTGTTCAAGTCACAACTTCTCTGGGCTTTAGTTTCCTCATCTGTAAAATAAGAGGGTTGAATTAGATAATCTCTAAATTTCCCTTCCAACTTTAGATCTATGGTCCTAGTGGTGAATGTAGTGGTGGATTGTTTGTGCTTATTTTTGCTTTCTCTTTCCCAAATGAGTTACCAAAGTATTCACCTATCTCACACAAGACAAGTCTTACTCACTTTGACTGGAAAGATAGAAATAGGAAGGAGAATATAAAGGCAGCATTTATGGGTCTTAACAGGGTTTGGTTAAAATATGACAAAGACCCCCATAGTTTCTAATGCTTGAAAAAAGTAAATTCTCATTCTAGAAACTTTCCTGTGTGGTTTCTATGTTGAGAATTCTCTGAGCAAGATGTTCATTCTTCCGAGAGGTACCTAACCATACTTTCGAAGGTTATAGAATAGGGTTCTAGTTGGGGCTGCTATAGGTCCTCTTGTCATTGTCTCATTCTTTTTTCTCTTCAAATCTGGCAATTTTGATGATCACTTTTTAGTACAACATACAACATATACATCCAAAAGTTTTATCCAACTTCCTTTTTCTCCCTTTGCATCATTTAGAACTTGTTATTGGCTAATAGCTGATTCTTATTGCCTTCATCCTGGAATTTGGAAAGCCTGATTTCAAATTGGGCATCAGATACTAGCTGTGTGATTCTGGGCAAGTCACTTAGCCTTTGTTTGCCTCAGTTTCCATGACTGTAAAATGGATAATGATAGCACCCATCTCATACGGTTGTTGTGAGGATCAAATAAGGTTTTTGTAAAGTGCCTTAGCACAATGCCAGGCATATAGTTCGTGCTTTATAAATTCTCATTCCCATCCCTTTATTCTACCCTAATACTTGTGTTGAATATTGCAATAGCCTGTTTAAAAAAGACTTCCACTTTTTTTCTTTCCCCGATCTACCTTTCATACTGTGCCAGAATAATTATTTTTATGAATAGTTCTGGTTATATGACTTGTCTCCCCTCCAATATTTAGGGCCACTTAGTCTTTTCAGCCTTTTATATCCTTTTCATCCATTCTACACTTCAGCAGTGCTGGACTCCTTTCTCCTTCATGAACATGTCCTTTGCTTTTCTATTACTTGTGCTCTATGCCTAGAATGTTCTCCCTCTTCATATTTTCCTGCTGATTTTTTATTCATCCTTTGAACCCCAACACAAATGTCATCTCATGAAGTTTTTCCTCATCTTCCAGGTAACTATTTTTACTAAGATCTTGCTTTATTTTGTAACTAATTTGCTTAAATTATCATAGTCATCATTACTTGATCTCCATATTATTCTCCTGTTAGATGATAAACTCTCTCAATGTAGGGAATCTAGAGTCTTACACAAATGTTTATATTTTCCCTAATACTTAGTATAGTGTTCTGCACACAGTTGTTTGATAAATGACTGTATTTGTTGTTATATTTGCTTTAGCATTATTTCAGAAGATGATAGAATAATAAATGAATACTGAAGTATTAAGGTTTTATTTTGGGAGATTGTTCACTGTTATATTTTAATTGTATTATCTCTTTTGGAGGTAATTGTGAACATTTTCTCTTTTAGCTACTGTTATTGAATTTATAGCTTTTTGTAATATGTAAATGGGGCAGCTAGGTGGCTCAGTGGTTAGAGTACTGGGCTGGAGTCAGGAAGACCTGAGTTCAAATGTGATCTCAGACACTTATAGCCGT